AAGATCTGGAGTTTTGGTCATTGCACAAGGCAGTAAGAAATTTCAGACTTCCACAACTACCAAAAGGAAGAAGATGACAAACATGAAGATGAGACATATAAAGGTGTAAGTTGGACTTAGGTCTGTATATGTCACTAACAAAATGCCAATCCGTGTCTGTGTATATCAGTTGCTGGGGAGCATGAGTGAGAGAGAGTTGTTGTACTCTTGTGGTTGAACACTGTGAAAACAGAATGCTAGATTAGATGGGCCTGATTCAGAATGTCTCCTCTTATATTCTTGTTTCTTATATGGGTACATTACCCCAAAGTTTGGCATTAGTTATGTTACCACCATAAAGCACAATGTTCCATACTTACCCTTGCTGATCTTTGTGTAAACCTGTGTCTATACACATACTGCAAATCTGCTTGGAATTAGGCCACATGAGATGGAGTTCTCCCTAGTTAACCTGATATTTTTATATTTTTGTTTCTAATGAAAAAGATTCAGGGGGCTGTAGCTGAGTGAAGAGCTGGAAAAATATTGCTTAATCTCTTTCCCCTGGCCATTTCCCCACTGAAAGGCCCACATCCCAGTTGCTTTTCCCTCAAAAGATACAGATTCTCATATGTTTTCCCCATGAGAAGAAAAGCAAATTGGGGCAAATCAGGTTTTTTGGGGGGGAGTGAGTGATGAGGATAACGGTATATCTCTCAGCTTTCATGATTGCAGCAAATAACTCATATCCTATACAACTATTGCCAATGTGTTTGTTTGGTTATTCTACTTTTTCATGTTAATCTTTTTTTCTTTGAAAAAATGAATTTTTTTTAAAAAAAACAAATGATAGTAGCATCTACTGCTATGCTTGAAAAGTAAGGAAAAGAAAATTAGAAGACAACTTCAGTTGAATTTATGAAGCTTAATTTTGTGCATGCCTGCAACATGGATTACTGTTACTGTTTTTGCTCAGCCTATGGTTTAAGACATGAAGCAAGCTTGAACAGGAGAGAGTCAATGAGGAGAGGACTCTTTACTTCCCTGGTGCCATTTTCCCTCTCACAGTATCTCCTCTCCTCAGTTGCTTGCCTATTTTAACTTAGGGCTTAGAGTATTGGACTTGTTTTCTTAAAGGAAAGCTACTGTTAAGTACCATTATGTACTCATGCCAAAACAGACTCTATATAAAGTGCTTTCTGCACTGTATTTATAAAATAAATAAATGATATGCATCTCAGTCTTTCACTGGAGTCTGTGATAAATGTCAGCATACTTGAACTCTATGGAACAGTTAAGGAACAGTTATCTATATGGCTGACAACAAAAGGTATGAAACCATGAAGGGCAAATATTTATTTTGTCCCTGTGTCTACATTTTAAAAAAAATGAATAAAAATTCAACAGGAAATGTTACTCTCTCATTTTCAGGTTTCTCAAGTATGGCTTCAGTCCTATTCTGAGAATGCTAAGGAATAGTAATGCTTTTAATAGTATTTAATATTACTATGGTGGTGTTTGTCAGCAAGAAGCCAGTGTAGTGTAGTGCTTTGAACATTGGACTATGACTCTAGACACCAAGGTTCAAATTCTTGCTTGGCCATGGAAAGCCAGTGGGTGACCTTGTGCAAGTCACACTCTCTCAGCCTTTGGGGGGAAGCTTTGGTTAAACCTCATTTGGAATACTGTGTCCAGTTCTGACCACCACAGTTCAGGAAAGATATTGATAAGCTAGAACATGGCATGAGAAGGGTAACCAAGATGAGTGAAGGTCTGGAATCCAAACCATATGAGAAAAACCTTAAGAAGTTAAGTAAGCTTGGAGAAGAGAACACTGAGAAGTAGTGTGACACTCTGAAACCAAGCAGCTAAACCAGCCCTTTGTTTAAGGCTCTTTGTCTCTGTAGATCATTAATCCCTGGTCTCTTAGATCACCCTTCCCCACTCCTGCTGAGCTAAAGGGAACCTCTTGAGACCATCCAAACCACATTGCCACTATCTGATGCGTTAGCAACAATTCTCCCTCCATCAGGTCTTGTTAGGAAGTTCTTGTTTCCTTTCCTTGCTACCTAAGCAAGCAGTAACTAAAGGCACGTGTAAAGGAGCATAGAAGAAGCAAGTACTTTTAAGAGAAAGTATTTATTCTAAGTAGACAATATAGAGTAAAGGGTTATGATTTCACACAAGGCCTCCTTGCCTTGCAGATACAGAAGCTATAGTTACAAGACAGTCATTTCAGGCAAGCTAAGAAAACAAATCCATAAACCTAGTCACACTAGCTAACACATTTCTAAGCTATTCGCAATCAGATGGAATTTGTAGTCCTTGATGTCGCTGGATACTGGGAGCTAGGCCCATGCCTAGCTCAACCAGCATCCCTCAAGCCTGTCCCCGGGGCACACAGCCCCCAACAGCTGGGCTCACAGACAAAGGAAAGGCTCAGCCACATGGTCTCCAAGGAAGCTTTTTAAAACCTCTCATTGGGACCATCTCAAAGTTCCTGGTACAACCCACTGATTGGCCAGTTGAGTATTTACATCAGCTATGATGAGACCATTAGAATATGATGTAAGTCTCATTAGCATGCAGGACCTTCCTCCCACCTCATTTAATCCTTTGCAGTCCTCAGATGAATTGAGGACCTCCAATTCAGCACACGTCCCCCGAATCTCAGACAGTTTGGGAAGAACTTGAGGTTGGAACCAAAATGGCTGGGATTTCATCCTATAGAAAAGAAAGAAGGTGAACAGACATGTTATAACACACACCTTCCAAATATTGTTTTGTCTGGGAACATCCAGAAGCTGGAACTACACTGACTGTAATGTCATCTTGTGACCTATTAGAGAAAAGGTTAGACAGACATGGAACATGTAATATCACAAGTTAACTAGAATGTCACACATAAAAAATGCAAAGTGGAGCAGTAGAGTTTATCTTTGAGTGTCAGTCCAGCTGGGCTGACAGATTGGGAAATGATCTTGAGGTGACGTAATGCTGTCTTCTGGTGGTCTTCCTGTGAAAGATCTCTGGGATGTATATAGGAACTTACTGGGATGGGCCATTTATGATAAGGAGCCTTTCAACCCCACAGTGAGGTCTATGTGACCACTGTCAATCACAAATTGAAACCACTTTCACAGTTCAGATAACTGGGCTCTTGTCTCATTGATTTTGTCCATGTAACTTGACAGCTATGATCTCCTGCTTGGAAATCTCTCTATCTTTGAAGTAGGCTGAGTGTCCCCTCCTACCATCTTTAATGCAGCTTGTAGACTCTGATTCCCTTCCAGTTCCATCCAGAATTGCTGTTGCTCCTGGAGTAAAGGGCTTGCCAAAGCCTCTTGTTGCATCCTGATGACAGGTTATCTCTGTACAGATGTAGAAGCAGTAGTGGTTGGTATCTGGAGTTGGTCTGTTATTTCCTGGGAACCTCAGCAAGTAGGATGGCACTTCTGTAACTTTAATCCTGAAGAGATCATGGAACAGGCAAAGGTATTGTAAAATTCTGTCAAGTTGGATGAAAGTACTTGTCCTCTTTTACCTTCCAAAACTCCAACATTCAGCCACAGCCATCTCCTCCTTTTGACTGTCAGGTGGAGAGCAGGGGTGGGGTGAGGAATCACCAGGGACAAAAACAATCTTGGGTGCTATTCCAGACACTGCACTCTCCACCTAAAGGCATATTGGGAGGAGATGACTGCATCTGAGAGTTGAAGTGCCATCTGCATAACAACCTAAATCCCACCTTTTATCTGCAGCCATTACCCTTCTAAGATGACCGTTTCCTGGTCAGTGAAGAGAAGGGAAGTGGCAGAGAAGGATCCAGCTTTTTTTTTCTGGTGCATTCAGTTAAAGGAATACAGCTGGATGCTTTTCTGCCACCCTACACCTGCACTGCCCATGTTGGACAGGGCACATTGCAGTGGATGCAGAAGAAAAAAGTTGAGTTTGGGAAAGGGTTGGACAAGAGACGTATCGTAGTTATGTATGTATGATATGTCTCTTGATCCAGGATCTCGGTCAGAGAATATAGTAGGAACCTTTAGAATGGGTGAACTAGATCAAGAATTCTAATCACTTCTGCATTATAAATTAACTGAATAGTGAATGTTCTGTGCCCTTTAAGAACTCCAAACTTCACCGCACCTAATATCAAAATCAGTTCTACTTTCACTCCAACAGGATGTTTGAAAGGACAATGGATATTTGTAACAGTTGCCTGTTATATAAGTAACATTTATTGGAGAGCTTAAAGAGTGTTGAACAAAAATTGCCCACTACAAATCACGGAAAATTTATTGCTTGTGCCAGGCATGCATGAAATGGCTGCTTGCTAATATAACTGGCTATTCACATTTGTCCTGCAAATACATAGATCTTCAAACAGAACTTCATGTCTTCTCCAAAGCTGTTTTGTTAGGACATGCCTAGTTGATCCTCCTCAGATATATGTAGTTGCTATCCAAAATTACTTGGGCATTTTAAAAAAATGGACATTCCCCGCAGGCTTGATAGCTGCTTTAGTGTTTTTAGAAATATGTCAGATCCTGATAGATTTCACAATTTTGCACACTGGGTTGAAAACTGACAAGACCATTGTAAAAGAGGCAATAAGAGAGAGAGAGAGAGAGAGAGACCCTGGTCTAGCAGAAGGGCACAACATATTGACTTCCCTTGATAGTTCTCAAAATAAGACATAATTTTACAGTGACTGTATGAAAAGTTTGATTCCATGTTTGCTAAGACCAGTAGGAAACCTGAGTTAGTTTCAGTAACAGAAAGGGTTCTAATGAATATTGAGTCAAATGACCTTGCTGTGGAGGTTAGAAATACTGCAGCCCAAGGGGAGGTGTATCAGGGGTTGACACACAATCTATTACTGCCCCTTCCCCAAGTCATGGTAGCAGTAGAGGACGAAAGCTATCAGTGTGGACTGTAAAACATGGCTGGAATTCTACATCACCTGCTTAATTACATTTGCGTAACTAAACAGAGCATCCTGGCCCAGTCCCCCCAAACATACCTCAGGCAGCTGCCAGATGAAGGAGGTCTGTCAGCTGGTGATTCTGTTTACACTCCATCTCCCATCAGCCTGGAAGGCTGTGACAAGGACTTGTGTCAGGAATCCTGCTTCTGATTGTCACAGCCTTGCTCACTAGCAGGAGAGAGGTTGAAAGAGCCTCCGTTCACCCTGATCACCAACTGAATGGACCTCCTTCTCCCAATCTGATGGCTGCCTGGTAAAGCAGGCTTGGAGGGTATTGACAATTGTAGCAATAGTGCCTTGATCATGACTGCGTAATGTTTCTGAAAACAGAACAGTTAGAAATTTGTATTTCAAGGTTACATATCCATAACTGCAATACTGAATTCCAGTCTGTATTTTTTTTTTTTAAAAAAATAAGAAACCTCTGAGGAATAAACTGAGAAAATAGTGAACCTGTGTGGAAAGGTTCTACATGCAACTAGGATATGATTGCTACGTCCTTATTCAGAAAGTGTTTTTCTATAATGTGTGTCAGTCATAACTAGTAAAGGGAAGTAAGAGTATGTAAATCAAGAGGGCATGGCATTTCCCACTGCTTGTAGGAGGGGAACTCCATAAACCCCCCATTTGCATGTTATTGGAGCAGTCAATCCAGTTGTACTCCCTATAATGGCATTTCCTTGCAATATGTAAAGGAAAAATTAGATTTGCTTAATTTACTTTAAGGGGTGGGTGGGTTCAGGAATTGGAATTGGGTTGATTGTTTTAACTTTGTATTGTTTTATCTTGCTGTACGCTGCCCCGATTGCTCTGCAGAGGGGCGGGTTACAAATAAAACCTATTATTATTATTATTATTATTATTATTATTATTATTATTATTATTATTTGTTATATTTGGTTGCTGATAGAGTGTCTGTTATGATCTACATGTGTGGACAATGTCACATATGAAACATAGAAAGTTACATTACATCTGTTCAGATCGTTGGTCCATCTAGCTCAGTATTCTGACCAGCAGTACCACTCCCGTGTTTCAAGACAAAATGTTTCAAGCTTACCTGGAGCTGCATGGTATTAGTGGCAGGTTGTGAGGTGATGACACTGGTCTGGATTTTGTCTGTTTTGTCTTTAAATTTGGTCTCCAAGGTGCTGAAAGTTTTTTTGGAAGGGGATAGGGCTCAGCATTTTGGATTGGTGTTGTGTGCCTTCCAGTTGTTTCTGACTTATGGTGACCCCAAGGTAAACCTATCACAGGATTTTTTTGGCAAGATTTGTTCAGAACAGGTTTGCCTTTGCCTCCTTCTGAGGCTGAAAGAGAGAGCAACTTGTCCAAGGGCCTTTGCAGACTGCCAGAAATAGTGCACATTAAATTGAGGCACTGCCCTGGCTCAGTGCTAGGGAATCATGGGAATTGTATTTTTTTCTGAGACATTGAGCCCTCTCTGCCAGAGAGCTCTGGTACCACAATAAATTACAGTTCCCATGATTCCCTAGCACTGAGCCAGGGCAGTGCCTCAATTTAATGTGCACTATTTCTGGCAGTCTGCAAAGGCCCCAAGTGGGTTTCCATGGCCAACCAGGGATTTGAACCTTGGCCTCCAGAGTCATAGT